TGTTGTGCGTTGGGATCACCCCCAACGGCAACGCCGCTGGCGTCGCGGCTCCCAAGGGAGGCGTCGCGGCAATCGTCGCGGCTGCAACCGCAACGCTTTGCATCGGAGAAGGCGGCGGCAGAGGCGCGAAGGCGATCGGCGGCAACGCCGCCCGCTGCGGCGTTGCCTGGGCGCCGAGCGCTGCGTTCCTGTTGCCGCGCAAGCTGATGAGCTTCCCGAGGATCTGCGTCTCGAGAAGCCCAATTGTCGGCTGCACGGGCCCCTCCGAGGCGAACGCCTGCTCGTACAGCGTCGGCCTCTCCTGCTGGAACAGCGCCGCCGAGGGGGGGGGCGCGCCGACAAACTCGGTCGCCTTGCCTCGAGCAGCTGTGTAGGCAGGGGAACGCCACGTGGTCTTCACCAACTGCAAGTACACGTCCAAGAGCTGCGGAGTCGGCGAATTCTTCTCGATGCCTGATCGCTGGCACGCCAGGAACATGAACGCGGCTAGCATGCCAAACGTCGGCTCGGAAGGGTTCCGGAGCCCGAGGCGCTCCAAGTGGCGCATCAACATGACAAATTTCGAAGCGAACGACTCGGTTGGGCTCAGCAGCACGTGCCACGTGGAGGCAGTAAGCAACTCCACGAAGCACTCGTAACTTTGCCCTTTGGCCTTCGTGCGCCTCCCGCAGAGCCACTCGGTCGCGGCGCCGACCAAATCGTGACTGAACCCCGTCTGCCCGAGCTGGGTCAGCAGCTGCCCTTTCTCCGTGGCCGTCCACCTGCAAAACGACGGGGGAATGTTAGACGGCGGGGAGGAGGGGGGAGCGGGCGGCGTTCCGCCGAACGGAGGCGGGGACCTCCTCGAAGGGGGAACGGATGGCCTCTCGCCCGTGCGGGATCTTTGACCCGAGCCTCGCCTCTGGCCTTCGATGAGCGCGCGCACCTTCCCGAAGTGCAGCTGCTCTGCAGCGCCCCCGGAAGGCCCGCTCGCCGCTGCAAGCGCCGCGGCTGCCTCGCCCAGGGCAGCCTGGACGCGCTCCGTCGCGCCGCGGCGCGTCGGGGGGCGCCCGCCCCGCGGCCCCTCCAGAAGCGCTCGGTGGGACAGGGGCAGCGTATTGTGGCGAAGGGAAATGGCATGGCCCTTCACGTCTTCCTTCTGCTATCCTCTCCTCCCCCCTCTCCCCTCCTCCCCCCTCCTGGGCGGTGCGCCGCCAATGCGACCAATCAAACGGTATATGATGAAACGTGCGCCGAAGGCGGTGCACCGCCAACGAATGCAGAAACACCTCGCGCAATCAAGGTGACGTGGGCGGTGGGCCGCCAAATGCGATGACAAACTCGGGCGAAGCATGCGCCGCGGGCGGTGCACCGCCAACGCGAAAGAAACGCATCGCGCAATCACGGGGACGTGGGCGGTGTACCGCCAAATTCGATGACGAATTCGGATGAAACGTGCTGCGTGGGCGGTGCTCCGCCGATGCGTGAAGAAACGATTCGCGCAATCAAGGGAACGTGGGCGGTGCACCGCCAACGCGACGAAACTTCAATCAACATGTGCAAAACGTACAAATTGCAATACGCGGGCAAAACATAGCGATGGGCGGTGCGCCGCCAATGCGATAAAACTGCTCAGAATTTGCAAGACGTGGGCGGTGGGCCGCCGAAACGAATCACATCAGAACGCGCCGCGATGAGAAGTGCGGGCGGTGTGCCGCCAATGCGCATGGCATCCCCTCCCGATCCCCCCCCCGCCATTCCCGCCCCCTCTCTCCTACCCCCCAGGCTGCGCGGGTTGAGCTCGGTGATGAACGGCCTTCTCGGTCGCCTGGCGCCTGGCGAAACACTGTGCTGAAGAAAACCTGCGCGTTTTTCGGTGTCCGACCCCCTTTTCAAAAAGCAGACGAAAAAGCAGACTTATCGGACTTAAACTTATCTTATTTATAAGTATAACTACAAGTAACTTATAAGTAGCTCAATTGGGTGCACACAAGTAACATATGTTCTACATGTGATTTAAGTATATATGTTAATGACTTAAGTTAGATGTGGATGGTAGTTGCAGGATCTTAACATATCTCACTACAAGTGATTTCAAGTTACTTACAAATAACTTCATATATAATTGAAGTAACTTATAAGTGACTTCATCTGACATAAATCTCATATGTCAACGCCATCACCAAAGAGGGGGGGGGGAGGGGGTTCGAACCGGTAGTGACCCCTCCCGGTTTTCCGCCTGTAGCGGTAGAACACGCTCTTTCACAGATGTAGCAATGACGCTTGGACATGAAGGTGCAGGCTGGAATTGAGCACAGCTAGCCATTGCACCGCGGCTGTACTGGCTGGGCCAAGCTGGAGCTGCCCGACTACATACCGCACCCTTGGTTGAATTCTCCTCGGGGGCCCGACTTGAAAGGCAGCACTAGGCCCGACAATAATTGTTTGGACGGCCGCCGCAAATCCGATCCGAACCCTCCTTTCGCTTTATGAATGGCGCCCCGCGGCGAGGGCCTCATGGGCTCTACCCCGTCACGGCGGGCTGGGGTCCGAGGCCCTTTGGGGGCTATGATCGCATCTCTCAAAAGGATTGGCTGTAGTCTGGCCTCCCCGTTTGTTTTCTCAGGTCGTGATGGACAGCAGTATCCTCCCACTAGCTTTTCCATCAGCTTCCATTCAGCAGCCAATGAGGTTTGAGTGTGATATGATTATTTGCGGACACGCTGCGACCAAGCTCGGGCATCCAGGTTCGAACATTAATGCCGGCGTTGCAGTCTCCATGCTCGCAAACCCCCATCTCCCTACTCAGAAAACACGAAGTTGCCTTCTCATATCTAATTCAGGGCTGTTGGACCAAGACACGTGCACACGATGCAGGCTGCTACGACGTTAGTCCCACCAGCCCTCTGGGCGTCGGTGGTTTTGAAGGAGTGTCCTCTTCCACCCCTCCTTCTTCTCCTTCGGGGAGGGGTTTACCCCTCCCCCTACCCCCTCCCCGCTGACCTGGACAGGGGGTTCCGCGGCGCGTTGGAGCGTCCAAAACGGCCTCGGCGAGGAAGCCAAAATCATTGATTTTACTATGGTTTGGGACCCATTTTGGCCTTCTGAGGGGGGGGCTGAAATTTAGGAACCCCCCTTCTTTGATCGATTTCCTCCACGATGGCCGCAAGAGGCACCCAGGATGCCCCAAGAGGCCGCAGGATGGCCCCAAGATGGCCCCAAGAGGCCCCCCAAGAGGCCCCCAGGAGGCCCCCAAGAGACCCCCAAGAGGCCCCAAGAGACCCCCCAGAGGCACCCAAGGTGCTCCCAGAGGCCCCAAGATGGCCCCAAAAGGCCCCAAGAGGCCCCCAGGAGGCCCCAAAGAGGATTCCGAACGGCCCACAGAGGCCCCCCCGAGGCACCCAAGACGCCGAACAACCCCTCAGGACGACCCTCTACTCGCCTGGGCGTCGTTTCTGGACGGGCTGGTGGGGATACGCGAAGCGTCTAGAATTGCTAATACATCTGCGATGCACCCTCCGACTGCATCCACCATCGTGTACTTGGCTGCCCAACTTCACATCCACAGAGGGGTCCTATGTGATACTCTCGAATTGCTTCGGAATCTCTACAGACACCCCTTGATCAGGTATGGGTGTCAAACGACGCCCGACTATCATGTGAATCCGCCCCCAGACACTGGACTCGAACAGCTCGAGTTATGATGCAGAGACCCCCACACCAGTAGGCAGGAGGCTTTCTCTGGCCACAACTTTACCGACGGAAATTGCACCCCTGGTGCACACACCGCCTACAGGTGCAGGATTCGCTATCGTGGCCGTGATGGGAGGGGAAGTTTTCGCAACGACCAAGGGCAACGCAGATAACCTGTTCAATTAAACGTCCCGAGCCGCCGAACAGCTCGCTGCCCTTGCTGCTTGCTGTGCTACCTCTCTCGCCTCACACGTTCACACAAACTGCCAAGCTCCAATTCAGCTACACGCCCAATCCATTTTTTTGAGAAATAACCAGATGTCGAGCTTGAAAATTTTAGCTGGAGGCTGCTGGTGCCGCCCTGGTCCGGTCGCAATCAAAGGCAAGGCCCCAGAAAAGAGAGACAATGCCATACGCACTGACGCGGCAGGCGGGACCGCGAAGCAGGCAGTCGGGGCCTTTTGCAGACCCAGCGAAGCCGAGCTTGAATTTCACACATCGGATACCAAGCTGGTTGGCAGATTCCTGCAGTACCTTGCTGCTGTCCTGCCTCGCTGGCCTGCCCTCGCCCCCTTTGAACGGGAAGACGGGCATGGACAGGCCAGCGAGCACCAACCCACCCCTTAGGGCCGCTTCTGCTCCCCACGTGTGGGAGCCAACGGGCCGTTCCTCCTCCTCCTCCTCCTCCTCCTCCTCCTCCTCCTCCTCCTCCTCCTGCGCCTCCTCGTCCTCCGCCTCCCCATGAATGCCCGGGGGGCCGTGGGTGAAAATCAAGGAGCGGTGGCCGTGGCCGCACTGGCAGATATCCCTAAGGGACGCAGCCTGCCCTGGCTCACATACCTTAGCGCTTCGAGCACCCTCATCCTCTGTGAAAGATGTGGTGCCTACACAGCGCGCGGATCTGGACTGACTGGAGAGTGCAAACTGAGCCCACCGAACAATGGAACGGCCTCGCGCCTTGCCCGATCCCTGAACCTCCAACGCCCCAAACATGAAATAACCAAACAGAACACCTCCCGTCATTTTCAGGCCACCCGTCCACCCTCCTCCTCCTCTTCCTCCTCCTCCCACTCCTTGCTCCTTGCTCCTTGCTCCTTGCTCCTTGCTCCTTCCTCCGTCCTCCTCCTCCTCCTTCCTCCGTCCTCCTCCTCCTCCCTCCTTCCTCCTCCTCCTGCGCCTCCTCCTACTCTTCCTCCGCAACTCCTCTTCCTCCTACTCTTCCTCCTCCTCGTTCCTCCCCCCGAGGCTGCCCCCGATCCGAGAGAGAGAGCTCGCGGGGGCGACGGCAGGCACAGGGCAGGGCGGCAGGGCAGGGCGGCAGGGCGCGCCCTCCGGGCTGAAGTCGGACTCCAGGGCCAGCACGACGCGCCGGCGGGCGAGCAGCTCGCACCTCGCCAGGGAGGGGCGAGCGACGACGGCGAGGACGAGGCCGACGAGGCCGACGAGGGCGACGACGACGAATAGGACGACGCCGAGGGAAGGACAGGGCACAAGGACGACGACGAGAAGGACGACGAGGCGGACGACGATGACGAGGACGACAACGAGGAAATAGATGTTCGGAATGCTCTGTGTGCTCTTTCTTCGCACCTCGTGGGTCCTCTCGGTGCGGCGGCCGGACTGGCCCCGAAACTCTGGCAGCAGCCCGCTTCGGGAGAGGTTCGTGGGTTCGGCCTCGCGGCAACGACGACGACGACGATGACGACGTGGACGCCCCAGGCACGCAGGAAGAGCGAGGCGGACAACGACGGCGGCGGCGACGACTGGGGGCCAGGATCACGCCTGCTGGCATGAATTCCAAAGGGCCGGCTGGGGTTCAGAATTCGAAGGGCAACTGAAGCCCAGTGAACCCCAGCGGGCGTGTCCGATACCCCAGCGTCGAATGGACCTGCAGGGATAGGGTTCGCAGGTGGTCGCAGAGTGGTCGCCGTACACGGGGTCCCCAGAGCACGCTGGCCTTGTTGGATTGCGGATTGCCTGGTCGCCGACCCGTGCCCCGCTCCCCTTTGTTGACGTCTCCTGGATCGCCGCCCGGGCCCCTGTTGCGAAGAACTTACTGTTTGGGTTCCACGCTGGCAGCCATACTTTAAATCTGGTTGAGCTTCGGGACGACGGTTCAACGCAGGGGCAGCCCAATCCCCCTGCCCACCGCCGTCTCCCCTCCACCCTCCCTCGGGGAGAGAAAGAGGGGAGGGAGAGGGGGGACTCGAAGGAGAGGGGACAGCGACGTGAGGAAGGAAGGGGGTGGAATGAGAGGAGGAGAAGGGGGAGGGTGGAGGAACTGCGCTTAGGCGGTGACTCAGGGGGACGAGGGAACGAGGAGGGGAAAGGGGTAGGAGAAGGGAAGCGGGAAGGGGAATCCCCGAAAACTCCCAGAAATTCCGAGGGATCCCCGCAGCCCCTGGAGGCCCGAAAACTACAACACTTTGTTCACGTCCACAAGCATCAAAGCTCCATCCTCGAAAACCGATGATCGAGAGGACACGGAGGAGGGGGAAGGAGTAGAAAGGAGCAGGCAGCAGGGATGTCGGACTGAGGAGGATGGTGGCCATGGAAGGCGGACGGGTGGAGGAAGCGGGCGGAGGACTGGAACCCCCACGATGACTACCCCAAACTCCCCCTCTTCCTGACGTTGATCCGTCTCCTCCTCCTCCTTCCCTCCCTTCCTCCTCCCAGCTCGCTCTCCTCATCGTCCTCCATTCCTCCACCCCATGTCCTTACATATAACTCCTCCGTGTCGGACCCCGGAGCGTGTCGGTAGGGCGGGCTGGGCGCTTCGCCTGAGACCTTCTCACCACTTATGACCCTTAAGCTTCCAAAATGCAATACTTTCACGGTCGGGCTGCGGGTCGTTTTCATAATGTGACTCACGCTTGGAATCCGCGCACTTTCGTCTTCAACGGTTGCAACAGTTCCACGGATGACGGGAGGGCGATCTTCCACTTTGAAAAGAGAAAGAAGCTCTCACCCTCGTGTCGCGCGCACGCGTCGTCGAAGTTTGCAAGAGCTTCACGCATGGACGGCGGGTCGCTTTCAAAATGCGGTTCTCGCCTTCGCGCCACACACATTCCTTTAAAAGTATGCAGGGGCTTGACGGATCGAGGGCGGGCCGTTTTCAAAATGCTGCTGTCGCCTGAGCGCTGCGCACTTTCGTCTCAAAAAGCTGTAAGTGTGTTTCACGGATGGAAAGCGGGCGGTGTTCATAATCTGGCTCTCGCCAGAGCGCCGCGCACACTCGCCGTTAAAATTAAGAAAAATTCTACGGATGGAAAACGGCCCCTTGTCAACATGTGGCTCCCGCTTTCGAGCCGCACGCGTTCGCCTTAAAAAGTTAGCAAAATCGTACTGGATCGGGGGCGACCCCATTTCAAATTGTGGTTCCCGCCTTCGCGCCGCACGCATTCGTCTTGAAAGTCTGCAAGGTCTTCACGGATGGAAGGCGGGTTGTTTTCAAAATGTGGCTCTCGCCTTGGCGCCGCGGACATTCGTTTTAAGTCTGCAGGAGCTCCACGTACTGAGGGCGGGTGGTTTTAATGTGATGTTCGCCTTGGCGCCGCGCACACTCGTCTCAGACACGTGCAAGGATTTTACCTATCGGGGCGGGCTCTTGTTCAAAATGTGGTTCTCACCCTAGCGCTGCGCACAACCGTCCTAAAAATTCACACCCGTGTAACGGATTATGATGGTTGACGTCCCAGGAGTGGTGCTCTGGCCCACTGTCAGGGCACAAAAGTCACGTTGATTCGTGGTGTTGAAATCCCAGAAGCTGCGTTCTGGCACGATGCAAGATCGTCAACACGCAACAGTCAGATTGGTTCGCGGCGTTGAAGTCCAAGGAGTGGTGTGTAGGCAAGACTGTGTACTCTCAGTCGGTTGTCTTCTGATGGGACACTTCCAGCAGCGAAATGACATTCTTGTATGGGGTCTGTGAAGAGGGAACCTGGAGAGAGGGCGTATTGAAACATCGTTGATACGCATTGGGTTTACACGTTACGTACATTGGTCCATGATCTCCTCCCTGACCATCCTCCCCTTCTGCCCCCCTCCCTCTTCCCGCTCCACTATCCGTCCTTACCCTCCTCATGCCCCTCCCCCTCCTCCTCCTCATCATCCTCCTGCGTCCGCGAACCTGACACCCCAGCACTCCACCTCCCCCTCCTCATCCCGCCTCCCCCCCCTCATCCTCCCAGACATGCGTCCTGATTTGTTCAACACTGCCACCCAAGACGTCCCAACCCTTTCCCTGCGACCAGTCGTTCAGTCTGAGTCATTCTTGGACGGTCCTGGGGCCCAGCGAGGCCCCCAGAAGCCGAAACCGGATAGAAACTTGCAGTCCTGATTATTCTCTACGCGAGCGTGTCTGGGCTCCCCCGCCCCTGCCCCCCTCGCTGATCAACCCCCTCTCCTCTTTCCCCCGCCCTTCTTCCCGCTGCCTTTCCCCCCCCCCCTCGCCCGCGCGCCTGTGCAGCGAGAGCCCGAGGCCCGTGGAGACCCAGCACACGAAGAGGCCCTCCTCCTGGGGGCGGGGGGAGGAGGCCCGAGATTGCCGACTATCCTGGCGGGTGCGCCCAGGGGAAGTGAGGAGGACCAGGCGTTCTCAGAAGAAGGCGGAGCGTCTCAGAAGCCCTCTGGCCTTCTAAGACGCCTTCGGTGTATCCAGGGAAGGCTTAGAAACCTGCTCAGAAGGCCCGCCCCCTCCGACTCCCCCCCTGCGCTCTTCGCCGAGAACGGGGAGGAGGCCCCACATCTCCGACTGTATGACGTTGGTCAGTCCAGACGCTTTGTTCGATTTCGGGGCTCGGGGCCCGTTCTCGGGCCGTGGGACCATCAGAAAACGGATCCTGCTCGAACGGTCACGGGCATCGTGCTACCATCGGGAACGCACAATCAGGAACGAAGGGTCTTTTTTTCTAGCCCCGGCGGGCCTAGGCCACAGACATGTTCCACGACATGGCGGATTCCAGAAACCCTGAACCCGAAAAGTGTCTCATCTCGACTTTTGCCTCCGCCGGCCTTCGGCCGCCCTTCGAACGGAAGCTCCTTAGACTCTCGCAGGCAAGGACCTTTTTTGAGCGCCTCACGTTACTCCAAGGAACGGCCCGAAAGCCCGAGCCCCTCCTGAACCCAACGCAGTCCTTTTTTCGGCGTCTTGCCGGCGCCTGGAGGCAAGGGGTCGGGGCATCAGGGGCCGCGCAGTGAAGAAGAAGGCAAGCAACAATAATAATATTAATAATAAGACGAATATTCTAATAATGATAATAAGACTAACCATGAAAAATAACAAGGATGTTCATGACGATAATGATACAAATGACACAATCACGCACGCACGCACGCACGCACGCACGCACGCACGCACGCACGCAGGCACGCACACACACACATACACACACACACACACACACACGCACGCACACGCACACAAACACACACACACAAATACACACACACAAACACACAAACACACAAACACTCACACACAAGCACACACACACAAACACACACACACAAACGCACACATATACACACAAACACACACACACACACAAACACACACACACATAAACACACACTACGTCGGCCGAGGTCCAGGGGGAAGGCGCCCGATCATCGAGGGGGAACATGCTGGATCGATGTCCCTGGGGACTTGCTGGGCCTCCGGAGGCCTCTAGGGAGCGAGGAGGAGGAGGAGAGAATGTCCGCGCACACGAATTGGGGCCTCCTCTTGGAGAGGGGGGGGGGTGAGCAGCCGCATCGCAAACACAGGCGATCAAGTCCTGCCAAAAGAATTGTCAGGGCGCACCTGCTGTCGAGCGTTCGGCTTCCTGGAATGTCCTCGGTCTTCTGAGGGTCCCCCCATCCCAAATGCGGATAGGAAATTCCCGTGGGACACCTGCTGGCAGGCTGGTCTCTTATTCGACGGGCCCTTTTCGGCTATGGCTTCTGACACCACGTAAACCGTTCAACTCTTCAACGATCGCAGTTTCTCGATAGCACAGATAGTCCGATACCGGCCGATTCCAGGCCACTGGCGTCGCTCAACATTGAAAGCCCGCGCTAGCGTCGCCGCCGCGTCGACACGACACGACCCTCCCGCATTGAATCGCAATCCGCATGACACAATTGCAATTGCGTCATGCGGATTTGGAGCTGGGCAACCTCGATCCGAGAGCTCGCTGGTAGTTCAAGCGGGGCCCGTCGAACACAAACGCCAGTCGCAGCCAGAAGAAATTGATAACGCGAGACTGCCGATCACCGAAGGGGAGCGTTCAGGATCAAGATCTTGTTCGGCCTTTTTGTCGACCTCTCAGGACCCTGGAAGCCTCAGGAGGCCCTCGAGGGTGAGGAGGAGGGAGAGGACGTCCGCGCGACACGAGAAGGCCCTCCCTCCTCTTGGCGGAGAAAGGTGAGGAGGAGTCGACGTAAACTGAAGGCGAGTCCAGCTGCGCACTGGCTGGCACGGCAAGCTTGGCTGCCCCTGTGGTCCGCGAAGCTTCTGCGGAAAAGAGGTGTGCCGACGTCGGCACGGTCTCTCTGGCCCCTCTGTATATACACCCCGCAATTGCGGATAAGAGTGAGGGGGCGGGCGCGGGCGACGCGGGCGTCGAGCTGGCGGACCTCGTGGCCCTCACCTTCCCTGTCGATGGCGCCCTCCTCCTCCTCCTCCTGATCCTCATCCTCCTCCTCCTCCTCCTCCTCCTCCTCCTCCTCCACTTCCTCGCCCGCGTCCTCGTCCTCATCGTCGTCGTCGTCGTCGTCCGCCTCCTCCTCCTCCACCTCCTCCTCCACCTCCTCCTGCTCCTTTTCCTCCTTTCCTCCTCCTTTCCTCCTCCTTTCCTCCTCCTTTCCTCCTCCTTTCCTCCTCCTTTCCTCCTCCTCCTCCTCCTCCTCCTCCTCTCCACCTCCACTTGGAAGGAATTCAAAAACAGCCCGCCGCAGGCGCTGAAAACTTTAATTTGTACACTGAACGCGGTTTGGGTCGCAGGCTCTCCACCTGGAACGAATGCAAAAGAAACCCGCCGCAGGCGTCGAAGTTTTGGCTTGTTGAAGGAACGTAGTTTGGGTCGCGGGTGGGTCGACCTCCACCTGGAAGGAATTGAAAAAACAGCCTGCCGCAGGCGCCGAACATTTTGATTTGTACACTGGGCGCGGTTTGGGGTGGGTCGCAGGTTCTCCACCTGGAATGAATGCAAAAAAACAGCCCGCCGAAGGCGCCGAAAATTTTGGGTGGGTCGCGGGGTGGGTCGCGGGTGGGTCGCGGGTGGGTCGCGGTGGGTCGCGGGTGGGTCGCGGGCGCGGCTGGGGTCGCGGGTGGCTCGCAGGTTCTCCACCTGGAGCGAATGCAAAAGAAACCCGCCGCAGGCGCCGAAAATTTTGAGTGGGTCGCCGGTGGGTCGCGGGTGGGTCGCGGGGTGGGTCGCGGACGGGTCGCGGGTGGGTCGCCGGTGGGTCGCGGGTGGGTAGCCGGGGGGGTCTCGGGGTGGTTCGCGGGTGGGTCGCCGGTGGGTCGCGGGTGGGTCGCGGGGTGGGTCGCGGGTTGGGTCGCGGATGGGTCACGGGGTGGGTCGCGGGTGGGGCGCGGGTGGGTCGCGGGGTGGGTCGCGGGTGGGTCGCCGGGCGGGTCGCGGGTGGGACGACGACAACAACAAACAACAACAACACCAACAACAACAACAACAACAACAACAACAACAACAGCAACAGCAACAGCAACAGCAACAACAACAGCAACAACAACAACAACAAGAATCCGCATCGCGGAATTCCACTTCAGCCACGCGCCCAGGGGCAGTGAATGACAGTTCGGTTCAGCCCCCTCACTCTGATAGATGGAAGGGAAACGCCGTGGCCCCAACAGCCCCTATGACTCGCGAGGCTTCTGCGGAAGAGAGCTGTGCCGACGTCGGCACGGTCTCTCTGGCTCCGTTGCATATAAAAGGAATCACCGTGGCCCCAACAACCTGCAACCAATGAACCTCACATCCTGCCGTGCCCAACTCCTCAAGACTCCCGAGCGAGCAGAGGGGTCCACGGGAAAGTGGAGCCGCACCCAGCTGAAGCGACGAGATGGCGGAGCCGAGCGCAACGGGTTGAATTTCGTCGGAATCGTTTGGGTTTTTGTCGGAATAGCTCTGGCTTTTTGCAAGAATCCACTCCGACAAAACCAGAACGATTCCAACAAAATCAAACCTGTCCCGGGGGACTCGCTTGGTTTTGGTGGAGTCGTTTGGTTTTGTAAGAATCGTTCGGGTCTTGTCGGAGTAACGGGTAAAGTAAGGAAACGAGTCGGCGCCACCGACCGCATCCGAAAACCTGATCGGACAAGAACGGGAATCGCCGATGTTGCCCATTTGGGCTCGTGGGGGGCAGAGAGGAAAAGGATGATGGCGACGACAAGGCGGTGGATGACGAGGATGACAGCGTGGATGACGGGGAGGGCAGCGAGGGGAGCAAGAGGACAACGAGTAGGAAGATACGCACGAGGACGATGAAGAACATATGAATTAAGACACGGACGAGGAGGAAGGAAGCGGGACCCCCCCCGTTCAAAACATATGATGAATCTCGTGAGCTGTCAAGTCTTTGTGGGGCCCTCTGTGGGAGCATTTCGGGAGCCTGTTGGAGACTTCTGTGACCCTCTTGGACTGTCCGGGCGCGTCTCAAAGTTTGTGGGGGCTCTCTTGGGGTGTCTTGGCGTTCTCTTGGACTGTCTTGGGGCTCTGTTGGGCAATCCTCGGGCCTCTTCGGGCGCCCTTGGGGGCCCCTTGGCGGCTCTTGGGAGCTTCTTGGGGGTCTCTTGGGGCGTTTGCGGGCCAATGTTGAAGCTCTCTGGGGGCTCCCTGGGGCCGTTTAGCCCGCAGACCCGTTCCTTCATTGGTGCGCCTACTGCGAGCCCAATGTACCAACGATGCTTCAGTAGAACCTCCCGTCCGAAGCCCCCTCCACATTGGTCCTTAAAAGCATTCGTACAATGCGTGAAGCGCACACCGTGAAAGACGAGCGCCCCATGGGCCCGCAACTCAGGCGATACTTCAGGTTGGGAAGCATTTATCCTCCCAACAAGAAGGAGCGCGACCGTGCAGGGAACTACCTGTCCAAGTATAGCCCCGTTTTACGAAGAGCCCCCAGCCACCGTATTGTGTGTAACTCCTACCCAGAGTTACACTTGTGGTGATAGTGTTGGCTAAGTCCGCCGCGATAACCAATCGTGTGACTGTGAGAAACTGTTAAAACGAGTGAGCGTTGCGTTCAGGCGAGAACGACATGCTGAAAATGACCGGTCAAAAATCCGTATAACGTTTCAGGTCAGACGAATGTGCACAGCGCTACGGCGAGAGCCACCTTTGGGGAACCACCAACCAACTGCTAAAAACTGTGAAGACGAATGTGCGCGGCGGTCACGCGAGAACCGCATTTTGAAAACCACCCGCCCTCCATCCGTGTAACGATTGGAAATGCTCAAGCTTCGGGGTAGAATATGTTCAGGAGGTCTCATGCGGAACGCCGGGCTTGGCCTACGGACGTGTTCGATGGTGCAACAGGGGGAGCTATGTATAAGGAACAGGGATGGAGAAGGAGGAGAAGGAGGAGGAGGAGCGTGAAGAGGAGTGAATCGTAGGAGAGAAAAGGATGGAGGCGGAGGAAGCGGAGGAGGAGGAGGAGGAGGAGGAGGAGGAGGAGCAGGAGGAAGGCGGCGATGAGGGGGAGGACCAGAAGAGGGAGCAGGAGGGCAGGCAGGCAGGAGGGAGGGACACCCGGTGAGTGAGGCAGCGCGCAGAGCGAGGAGATCTCCCCGTCGAGATGCGCCCCCCCGCCCGGGGATGCGGCAGCGCCGCACGGCGCGGGCGGGCGGGC